TGGATATTGTGAAATGATGCCATTAGATCCAAATTGGTAGCATCATTAATTGATAAGGAAGGGGGCCATTTTGATGATGGAAAAAGCTTGAAACAAATGGAGAAGAAGAAGAAGATTATAGAAAAAGAGCAATTTGTACTAGATGTCAATGAGAGGAGTGTGAAGACTCTCAAACTGGTTTTTGAAATTTGGAATAAACAGATAGGGTCCAATAAATCTGAAACTGAGCTTGGATGTTCTCTATTGTCTTCTAACTCAGCAACACTGTCAAACTACTATCACGTGAGTGAGAGTATTTAAGTTTTTCAAAAGGGTCCAAGAGGAACTTCATCAAAATATTATACTCCTCTTCTAAATTCTCCAACTAAATGTCATGTAAAATAATCCAAAGTAAAAGATATCTTAACTATTTCATTCCATTTTTCAATGTCTCAGATGCATGCAGAAAAGGTTCTTTTAACAATCTTCATTTTTAGACTTGAAAAAGAGAGCTACACTTCTTTGTGTCTCTTAAAAATCACTAAAAAAAAATTACTTTAGAATATTAACCATGTTCAAAACCTTAAGAAAATAAATTAATAGATTTTTTTACACTATTTTATTTTTTTATTTTTATTCGTGTGTATAAAATTTACAGGTATTTGTCTACCAGCTAAACCTGCATAAGTGCAGTGCATTGTACTAATTCTGGTAGGGATCTTTGCTATTCAAGGATAGCATGATGAAAGGGTGTGTTCTTCGGTGCATGCATCCTTCCAAATATTCATAGGATAGAAACAAAACAAAAAAAAAATAGGAGGATTGAAAAAAATACAAGACCAAAATGTTTTATTAAAAAAACTAAAATTAAGCATAATTTATAAACCGAAATTATATTTAAACCATATATATATACTCTTATGTACATAACATTATTTGCTAAATAAATTTGAAGAAAATCTTCCATGAGATTAGACAATGTTATATCCTTGTCGAATTTAATGCAAAAAAGCTTTCTGAACACATAGGCCAATGTGTTAATTCCAAAAACGTACACTTGGCATGTTTTTGTTGTTTCTCACGTTTGAGTGTCCGTGACCGCGTTCTCATTTCTCTACCTAAGACAAAAACACATACAAAATGCAGACAAATGAGTTTTATAAACACATTAGGGTTATTGCATTCCAGGTATGATCTGTTTTAATCATTTCTGATTTTATTTTTAAATTTAAAGAAAAAATATTTTTTAATCTTACATTAAATAGGACTTCTTAGTGTAATTAAATTATTTATTATTTATATAAATATATGGTTCTGTAGATACGATGGGGTCATTTTGTGATTGTGAAGATAGGACAATATGATCCTAGCTGTTATCACTTTGCATTGGTCCTTAATTGGTGGATATTTTTGTCATTTTTGTCTGTTTTTTTCTCATGTTGGGTCAATTTATTTTCTTTTATTGCTTTATATAATTGGCCTACAGTTTTCTTCCACACCCTTAGCTGTGTATAACACCATTTCTTTTCTTCTTATTATTATTATTATTTCTTTTTATTTTTTTTATTTTTTTTATTTGATGCATGAGGTCCAATGTTTGAATTTTTAGTAGTAATAAATAGACCACATCGTACATATAAGTTTAATGAGGGCATGTTAACATATTCAATGTGAATTTGACCTTTTGATTTCTTGCATTTCAAATTGGACTGCACAAAATTTGCTGATTTTTTGTGACATCAATCTTACATATGCATAGTAAAATATATTATATAACAGACTATACCTAATGAATCAATGTTATCTCATTTCTCACTGGTTCTGGATTTGCATTAAGAAAAACATAAGATTGATATATGCATGAAGAATTTCAATGTACATACATATATAAAAAAATCATACATAGCTACCCATTTGAGAAAATATTGCATATGATTGATGAAGCAATGATTTTTACTTTGTTTTGAACTCTATAACAAGTTCATCAAGTTAAAAAAAAAACCCTAAAATTCTTCCTCTGAGTGCACCATTTGGCAGTGTGTCACATCCTCTTGGCATAACCCACATACACATCCAAATACATTACTATCATCCAATTCATTTATAGATACAATATTATATATAAACACTTTTTTTTGTGATATCATAATCTTTAACTCAAGTGGCAAACATTCTCATTGCTCCATAGATGGCGTGTCACCTATTTTTGAAATCTTATTAGTAAGCTATTATAATGCTAATAATATATTATCACCTAGGGCTCTTTGCCATACATAGATCAATGGCGTTTAACCCTTAAAATTATGTTATTAGTAAATTTGCATGCGTAATATATATATTATCATATAATCTTTACCAAATATTCTAGATGACGTGTCTTCCACCCTAATTTTGTGCTTAATATGGTTGTATGCAATCAGCATCTACAATGCAACTATATATACCAATGCATTGTGGGACATGTGATGCACAAATATGTCACATTTCTTATTTAAAACACTATAAGAATAAAAAATGAAATATTCATATGGCTCTCTATATGTAGAAACGTATGCAAATTTTAATTTACATATTCTTTAACTATGAATCATTCTTTATACTTGATATGTAAATTTAGGTATTTTTCGGGTAATTTTTAATATATTAAGTATTATTAGAATTGATGGATTTCTTGATAATGATTTATAAGAAAAACACAATCCATGAATTCAATTTATATAACAAATTAATGTCGTTTTTAATTTAAAGCCTTTAAATAATAAGTTTATAATTTTTTTTATATGTTATTTAATTTTCTTATTTCTATTCAATATTTCTACTTTCTCTTGTCCTGTTAATCATATAAATGTTAGGCCATTTATATGCATACTTAATATTAAACTAAGTATATAAGAAATTTCTTAAAATTTATTTTGTAATAATGTTATTCCACAATGTATAAATTTATGTTTTAAAGATTTTAAAAATCTTATATTTATGTAAGTTAAAAAATTTAATAATCAATTAAAACATATATATAAAAAAAACTTATCTCATAGTTATTAAAACTTGCAAATGGACAAAAACTATATGCCAAAAGTTAGCATTCAAATGATAAGTCCGATTAAACACATTTATTAGATTATGGGTAATCTACTAAATCTTATTTCCAAAATAACTATATTATCAATATTTTTAGTTTTTCAAAAAAGTATATTAATTAATAATTAGTAATAAATATTTTATGGCGTGTGATATAACTGTATATGGGCATAAATATAATAACTAATTATTATGACATAACAGATCCTTATAAAAGAGTATAAAAAAATATAATTTAAGTCAATCAAGATTAAAATATTCTGAATAATCTTAAACAAACTCAGCCTTCAAAATGTTTTATAACAATAAAAAATCATAATAAACAACATAATGTCATAAATTTGTACGTGAAATTGAATAATGCAATTCTTTTGAAAACGAAAAGGATCCTGTCCTTTTAAAAGTAATTTCCCAAAAGATCTAAAGTTAAACCCCAATAGTAAAACAATTGTACTCTTTGGTTAAAAGACACCTCTCTTGCATGTAAAATTTTGATTTTCTTGATAATTAACAATGAGTTTTGTCCTAATTCAATTCTACAGCACTTTGTTCATAAATTTAGCCCTCTTTTAATAACATTACACAATTAAATTATTAAGGTAAAAATTACTTTTAATTAGTATAAGTTACAAAATTAGAAAATAAAGAACAGATTTGTTCAACACATATATTTCAAGTCTTAACTCAGTTATATAAGATTAGGTTATACATTATAATTTATCTTTTAACCGATGTGGAACATTGAAATAATTCAAATTTTGGAGTATTCGCTTGGATATGAGGTTAATGTTTCCAACACTGAAGTTCAATAATATATGTTTCTGACATTTTAGTATGGAGAATGAATGTGACAGTTGAGTTGTTTGGTAAGAATAACAAGTAGCTAGAAAAATAAAAGCAAAATGTTATGTTGAGGTAGAAGGTAGGAGAAGAGTAGTTTCTAGGGTTAATGTTAGTTTAAGTTGGAAATGGTGAGATTATGATATAATAAGAAAAGAAAGAAAATTTGGAAAAGAAAGGTATGAGGTGGGTCACGGAAAGAGAGAGGTGAATGGCAGTGGCAGCTTTTGCTTTTCAAAGTTTTACTCTTTTTGAACAATTTTATGGGAATGACTGTCTGCTGTGGGAATAGACCAAAGAGACCAAAGTGTGATAGTTAGTTCATAGTGGTTTATGGAATCTATAAAGCACATCCCATACCATCACCCAACATTCATTTACAGCACAAAAGACATCACCTTATATTATTTTTTATATCACATTTTTCTGCTTCATCTATGCTATCTCACAAAATCTATCATCAATCTTCAGCCCCCAGAACTCCATTTTCCTCGTGATTCTCACATTCTCAATACCTTAACATTAAAAATTTTAACTTTAGGACTCTACTAAATGGCCAAACTCCACCCTTTTGGATTCTCCACGCAAGCATCAACCACTTCCCCCACAAGGGTTTTTTCTCAGCAAACATTATTACAAAAAACAGATTATATATAAGCAAAATGTTCAAACCCATGTAAAATATTTACATCACTTTTAATCTATAACTTCAAAACATAAACTTTATAAAAAAAAATTTTAGATTCATACTTAAATTATTCTCAACACTTACTAATTACCCCATTTTAAGGTTTTACTTGCTAATCCAACTAATTAAAACAAATAAATGAATACTCTGGTAATGTACTACTGCTGAATCAAACACGTAGGATTTTGGTTCTTTGCAGCCAAAAGGGAAAGAAAAGGGCTACGGTATTATTCTTTTGTTCTAAATGTGTCTGCTTAATATTCATTAATAAAATCTAATGATATCTCTCATGCACCAGTACTTTTTTTTTTCTTTTTTCTTTTTTCTGCTTTATCTACTACTTTGCTGATGCATATATAGTTTCATGAAAACTTCTTTATGCTTTAAGTGCATGTGTATGGTTAAGTAAGTCTCTCAAGTGTATTTCCGGTTCTCTCCCTGCCACATATGCTGCTGAAACTTTTACCTTGAATTGGTTTGTTCATCCTTGTTCTAAGATTAAGGCTGTTATATATATAATATTTTGCTTACAGCTTCCTGACTCAGTGACAGGCATGCTCCTTCTCTTTATGCTGTCTAAAAACATGTCTTTTTTCACCCCTTTGATCTGACACGAGATTTTTCGGTGGATGAGATTCTAGCATGGAAAGAAGGAAGTGAGTTTCTTTTTCTTATTTTGAACACCACAGTGATGAAAGCACATCCATTTCAGAACTGTTAAACGTTCCATATTTACATCTTTGTGGGTTGAAGTTGGAAACCTCAACCTCAAGTGAAGTGTACTTGCATCTTCTTCCTTGGAAATTCCAGTTTAATGGGGTCGCCAAGAGGAACAACTCTTCTCTTTTTCACATTGTTCTTCTTTTGGAGCTTCGCAGATGCTTTGCTTTCTCCTAAGGGAGTGAACTTCGAAGGTAAATTTGAAATTTTGCTCCTTCTTTCACCTTGTTCTCAGCTTCATAATATGCAGAGTTTTGAATTAGGTCTCTTTTTAATGCAGTGCAAGCCTTAATGAGCATAAAACGCTCTCTAGAGGATCCACATGGTGTTCTAGACAATTGGGATGGGGATGCAGTCGATCCATGTAGCTGGACTATGGTCACATGTTCTTCAGATAACTTGGTCGTTGGACTGTGAGTCTTCTTTCAATCTTATAGTTAAGCTGATGAAATACTGTTCCAATTTTGAACACTCATCAGGTGTACCAGTTTGTGCTGCAAATTGATTCAAGCTTTAGATGAAACTTGTGCTGTGTTGTTTGGTGCAGGGGCACTCCAAGTCAAAGTCTATCTGGTACTCTATCTCCGAGCATAGGCAACTTAACCAACCTTCAGATTGTGTAAGTGATTGCAAGGCTCTATGCAATTTAGTACTCTCAAAATGGCTTCTTATTGACTATGAGAGGTGTTTTGGACAACTTTTCAGGCTGCTACAGAATAACAACATAAGTGGACAAATCCCATCAGAGTTGGGAAAACTTCCTAAGCTTCAGACCCTTGATCTCTCAAACAACTTCTTCAGAGGGGAGATTCCTCAATCTCTGGGACACCTGAAAAGCCTCCAATACCTGTAAGCATACATGAGCTTGGGTTTGATATCTTGAGATGAATCCATTTTCAGTATCAATCTCTAATGTTTAATGCTAAAATTTTCCCAAAATTGTTTCAGGAGGCTCAATAACAACACTCTTGTTGGTGAATGCCCAGAGTCTCTGGCTAACATGACCCAACTCAATTTTCTGTAATACACATGAACTCTTCTGTTTTATACTTGTATCTTATGCATAATTTCAGTTTGGCATTCCTAAAGACCTTTCTTGTTTTGTGATTATCATTCAGTGACTTGTCATACAACAATCTTAGTGGCCCGGTGCCCAGAATTTTAGCCAAATCATTCAGGTAAGCCTATCTCTCTCTCTCTCTGTTATGTATGTGCATTTTGCTTGGAAGGAAAACAGAAAATTGGGTGCTAGCCTATAGATTAATCTCATTCCTTTTTATTGTTTCAGCATTGTTGGAAACCCCATTGTTTGTGCAACGGGAAAAGAGCCAAACTGTCATGGGATGACATTGATGCCTATGTCCATGAACTTGAACAATACCGAACGTAAGATGTCGTCACTGTCGGTCATGTTTTTTTAAAAATTGATTGTTCTTCCAAGCCTTGTGCCAGATTCCCATGTACTAGTGTACTCTGACACATTCTGCATGGTCATTGTTATGATGCTGATAACAATATCTTTGCTTCCCTAGATGCTTTACAATCAGGCAGACCAAAAACTCATAAAATGGCAATTGCCTTTGGCTTGAGTTTGGGATGTCTCTGCCTCATAGTTATCGGTTTTGGAGGCGTTATTTGGTGGAGACACAAGCACAATCAACAAGCATTCTTCGATGTTAAAGGTACTTGCCATTTACACACCTTGAATGAGATCAAAGTAAAATATACATCTTTATATAAGAATGTTCTAGTGCATCAAAAGTTAATTCAAGTATGGTATTGTTCTGACATTTACGACCGTTTTGTTAACTGTTTCAGACCGGCATCATGAAGAAGTCTACCTCGGAAACTTGAAGAGGTTCCAATTCAGAGAACTCCAGATTTCTACTCACAACTTCAGCAGCAAAAACATACTAGGAAAAGGTGGTTTTGGAAATGTCTACAAAGGAGTTCTCTCTGATGGTACTCTTGTAGCTGTCAAGAGGCTTAAAGATGGCAATGCCATTGGAGGAGAGATTCAATTTCAGACAGAAGTTGAAATGATCAGCTTGGCAGTGCACCGAAACCTCCTCAGACTCTACGGATTTTGCATGACACCAACAGAAAGGCTTTTGGTTTATCCATACATGTCCAATGGCAGTGTTGCTTCTCGTCTCAAGGGTAAGCTCAGTTCTGAAATTTCATACTCAAATTAGACCACCTCATTTAGTGTTACTTTCATACTTTCAAAGTATCACCCTTATGTTTGCAAATAGTATAACAAATTTCTTATATTATTTGTGAAAAAGAGAAATGAAGATAGAAACATTTTTATCAAGGAAGATTGTACCTAAGGATTCTAATACCAAATTCGTGGTTGTCAGGTAAACCAGTGCTGGACTGGGGCACTAGGAAGCACATTGCTTTGGGAGCAGCAAGAGGACTACTGTATCTTCATGAGCAATGTGATCCAAAGATCATTCACAGGGATGTGAAAGCTGCAAACATATTGCTTGATGACTACTGTGAAGCTGTGGTTGGAGATTTTGGGTTGGCAAAGCTTTTGGATCACCAAGACTCACACGTCACAACTGCAGTGAGAGGCACAGTGGGGCATATTGCCCCAGAGTACCTTTCCACAGGACAGTCCTCTGAGAAGACTGATGTTTTTGGATTTGGCATTCTCCTCCTTGAATTGATCACAGGCCAGAGAGCTCTAGAGTTTGGAAAATCAGCCAACAACAAAGGAGCCATGCTTGATTGGGTGAGTTTGTTTCCCTTCATTCATCAGAACTCTTTCCTTTATCTCAAACCAAATGGTAAGTCTAATTCCTTATATTGTTTGACATTCAGGTAAAGAAAATTCATGTGGAGAAAAAGCTTGAAATGCTGGTAGACAAGGATCTGAAGAACAACTATGACAGAATTGAACTTGAGGAAATGGTTCAAGTGGCCCTCTTGTGTACTCAGTATCTTCCAGGGCATAGGCCTAAAATGTCTGAAGTGGTTCGCATGCTCGAAGGTGATGGACTAGCAGAAAGATGGGAAGCTTCACAGAGAGTTGACACAACCAAGTTCAAACCCCAAGAGTCATCTTCATCAGATAGGTATTCTGATCTCACTGATGACTCTTTGTTGTTAGTCCAAGCCATGGAGCTCTCAGGACCCAGATGAATCGATTGTCCAGTAGCACTACATTTTCATTTTTGTTTTAAAGGTATTCAAAGAAAGCATATGATAGTTGAATCTTTGTTACAAGAAGATTATAATGGTGTATGATAGAGATTTACCAAAGCTGAAAATGGCTTTGGTAATGTTTACTTTCAAATGTACAGAATCTCATTCGTTGAATGTTAATTTTGTAATATTACTGTTGAAAACGAAACATCCTGTGATTGTATGATTAATGATCTCAAAGTTTACTGTGTTATTTATGATGTTTTGTTTAGCTGTGTGAGTTGCAATCAAATACGCATCATGGTTCTTAAATTCAAACTACATTAACAATAATAAGACACGACCATAGACTCATAATCCATGTTTATGAAAAAGTGAACCTGGTAAGTGGTCCCCATGGTAAGGTGCAACGGTGCTTTACTTTGGTAGTTGATCCATTTAGGTTTGTCCCAGGGAATGGTGCAATTGTCATTGTTTCTATATACAGCTGGGCATAAGTGTTGTACCTCTTTTACCTAACAACACGATTTCTCCTCCACACCTCCTTTCCCATTCCCCTAACCAAAAAAATCTTCCTTCTTTTCTCTTTACTCAATTAATTATATGTTTATTAGAGGGTAATTTACGTTTAACCTACGTGATCAGCTCTCTTAAATAACTTCAATTTTTATTTTAGCTTATTTGATCTATGACTTTAATAAGCTTATATATGTTATGGACCTAAGTCTTCACATAAGTTAATAGGCTAAAAATGCAAACCAATAACAAGGATAAAAATATATTTCACCTTTATAAATGAAATATCATAATTAAAACAAAATTAAATATGTTTTTAATCCAATTCCTCCTTCTTTCATGCTCTCAAAATTAAAAATCTCCTAACTTAATTACATAGTTAACGATTTAATTATTTAGACAGTTTGA